CTGAGTTTCGGTTCATTTTTGTGAAGCGCTCCTTTTCAAGACCGAAACGGCAGTATAAAAGCACAACGTTTTGTTGATATCGTGAGTGCACACAAAAAAAGTAGACACTTTGCAGTTCCGAATCATGTATTACTCTTTATGAGCAAAAATGACGCATAGGCTATTTAAAGTTGTTTCCACTGAAAAAAATGCAAGTGATCTCGCTGGCGACTTCATGTCCTTCAAAGCGTGCTTTAGCTTCCACTCTCCGCACAAACTATTGGATATGCATCTAACAGCGCACATTTATCTAGGTTTAACGTTTAAACATTGCTAATTGAACTGTTTTATATCTATAGATTTTATTTTAGGCAAGTCGTGATGATTTGAGAAGGCTAAACTGATCAAACGTGCTATGGTATATGACATATAACAGGCTATGATCAGCTCACTGTCTGCCGCTGGCCGCTTGGTCGTTACTTTAAAAAACAAAAACTTATTTAACGAACAAAAAATGCTCCAAAAGTTTTCCTTAATTAACTTAATAAAAAACGAAACGAAATATAGCCTAATCACTTTGCCCTTGGGCTCATTGGCTGCAGCTGCCATTTCAACTCCCTGTTTTTTTCATGTCTTGCTTTTTGATTTATAATAAAATAAATATTACAACAAATTTTAGTACTTTATCGCACTTTAGTACTTTAAGTGCAAGAAGTCACAAAGTCACTTGTCATTAAAAAAATAAATAAGGCCAGACAACAGCCTATAATGCTGAATTATTTAAATACCTACATAGTTAAATACAAATTAAATAAGTATAAGAATTAAATAGTGCATTCAATATTTTGAAATGTTTAAATTTAATAATTTAACTACATCGTTTAAGTTTTATCCAACACAGACTTGTTGCTGCTGTAGTTTTGTTAGTCTGAATTTAGTCTCAATCACTTAATGCACAGCTCTATTTTGACGTCGGCTGGTCAGATGATTCATTCCGTTGCCACTGTCAATCATAGCAATGACTCGCGGCATGATTTAACGGATTCACTGGCGTAAATTTAACATTCATGTTTGTCATTCCTGAAACGGTATATGTAGACATTTGGTTCTCTTAGACAAACAAAACTTTTCTCCAAATTGTGAATGGATTATGTAGAGAAACCGAGCAAAAGGCGCATATGCACGATTACTTCCTGGTTTTAGATAAGCCAGATCAGTCATTTAAAAACTTTTCTCCAAATTGTGAATGGATTATGTAGAGAAACCGAGCAAAGGGCGCTCCCTTAAGGCACAGTACAGTTAACCAGAAATGACTGAGCTGGCTTATCTAAAACCAGGAAGTAATCGTGCATATGGTCAATTCAACCAATCCAATGACGACTTCGAAACTCCCGAAGTGTTTCCAATTTTGTGTGCTGTATGCATCAGACGTTCAGCCAACGGTCCGTGGGTGTGAAGTCTGAGGCTGAGACTATATAGCGCCAGAGTACAGAATTTAGGTATTTTGGTATTTCTTTGTGCTTATCAGTCAAATGCACACAAAGTTATGTCAAAATTCCTGTCTTGGAAATATAGTCGGTTGAGTCTTACGTAAATAGTTGGGAATAAAATCAAATTTGCATCAAAATAGAATACTGGATCCCTAATATACACCTGCTGCTGTTTGTGTCCTTAACATAAATCAAACAATAACACATAAAAATTGTTTTAATCAACCCAATCACAAATGAAAAAAGGATCCTGGTGTCATTTTATAATTTGTCTTTGATCTTATTGACCCTTTAAAAAAGGATCCTGGTGTCATTTTATAATTAGTTTTATTGAATAAAACAAATAACAATTGTTTTAATCAACCCAATCACAAATGAAAAAAGGGTCCTGGTGTCATTTTATAATTTGTTTTATTGAATAACAAATAAAAATTGTTTTAATCAACCCAATCACAAATGAACAATGCTTAATACAGATAAAAACCTGTGATGTGTAGTGGTGTTCCGAAAAAGAGGTGGCAAAGCCCTCATATTATTTATTTATTGTGTGTGTGTGCTAACAGCACTAATGGAAGAATTTTAGGTTTAGAACAAAAAGTTTGGGCAGACTGACAAAACCCATCTAATCTGTAAAGAATGCCAGTATGAATTAAAATATTCAGAAAAGTGCTCTTGCACTATTTTCACCTTCCGGGTTTAAAATCTACATCGTATTGATGTCACAGTTTGTGACGTGGCAAAGGACTTTTAATTCCATGATGCACTGGCATCTCATAATTATTCATGAGACTGGGTGTTCTTATCCTATGAGAAGACGCTTCGCTTAATTATTCACAACAGCATTAGGGGTGGGGGAAAAATTCGATACAGCATAGTATCGCGATATTTTCTGCAGCAATACTGTATCGATACACGGACGCCAAGTATCGATCTTTTATTATACTATTTGGTAGAATAATAAAATCAATATCTTTACAATCCACTTGATGGTGGTGCTGAGTTTTTTTCTGGTGAGGTCAGCTGGGTCACCTTCAACATGCAGTAAGTTAGTAAAATAAAGAGGGTGGCATCGCAGAAAGTTATCAGGAAAGCCCCGTCCGCGTTTAAATCGGATGTATGGACTTACTTCGGATTTGTAAACAAGGAGGGGATGTAAGTAGGGATGCACCGAAAATATAGGCTACATATAATAATAATAATAATAATAATAATATATGATGCACCGCGTCGCGCCCCGCCCATTAGTGTTCAGCGCGCATGTTTCACTCTCCTCGTCACTGCGCGGTTTGACGCTCCGCTCAAGTAACACTTTTCAATAAGGTTCCATTAGTTCATGTATTAACTAACTATCATGAACGAACAAGGAACAATACATTTATTACAGTATTTATTAATCTTTCTTAATGTTAGTTAATGAGAATAGTTATTCACTGTTAGTTCATGTTAATTCAGAGTGTATTAACTGTTAACAAGCACAAC